TGAAATAACTATTCACTAATATTCTTTAATATATTAATGTGAAATGAAACCACACAAAAAATTTTATGTCAGAGTTCTCTGATTCCACAAAAGTAGAATATAAGTTGTCAACTGGGACTTTTAAACTGAAAGAAGGCATTATTAATAATTATGATATATGTATGTTTCTCACATAACAAGAAGTCAGAAACATGCAGTCCAGGAATGGTAACCTTGTTAACAAGGTCTTTGTCTTCTGGGATTTTGATTTGTTCTAGTTTCCTATTCTGTCATTCTCAGAAAGTTGCTTTCATCCTTTGCTTGCAAGATCACTTGGCATCTTCAGGCAACACCTTTGGGAACCAGACAAGAAGGTAATAGAACAACTCACAAAACAATGCTTACTGGATACATCTGTCTTTTTAAAGCAAAAGAACAACTTCTCTAAAAGCCCTATCTTGTTAGACTTGCTGGACTTAGCAAGCCAAAATGAAATCTTTAAGCACATACTCATACTAAGTAATTGTTTTTTGTTGCAAATTCAAATTTGCTGGGTGTCCTGCATTTTAACTGGCAACTCTATACCAGTGGGACTTCTGCAAAGATTTCTGTGGTCAGGACAGTAGCTGGTATGATCTGAAAGTTTGTGTGCTCACAAAAACTCACATGTTGGAACCTAATCTCCACAGTGATAGGATTGGAACTAGGGCTTTTGGGAGGTGATTAGGTCATAAGGGTAGAGCTTTCAAGAATGAGATTTAGTCCCTTATAAAAGAGGCCCCAGAGGGCTACCTTGCCCTTCCAGCACATGAAGACACAGGTGAAGTCACCATCCATGAAGAAGGGGCCCTTGCTGGACACCAAATCTGCCAGTGCCTTGGTCATGGACTTACCAGCCCCCAAAACTGTGAGCAATAAATGTTTGTTTACAAGCCACCCAGTTTATGGTATTTTCTTATAGCAGCCAAACGGACTGAGACAGTAGCATATGGTCAATCCCTACTTCAGAGAGTCTGGGCCACTGAGTATGTTTAATGGGTCACTTTCCTGTAGCGACTACAATGGTGGTCTTCTTAATAAAGATAAAGGAGAAATTGGATAATGTGGGATTCACAAGTATGATAGCCACACAATGAAAAAGAAGTGTTTGAACATGATTTCCAAGGAAAGGCAATCAAACTAGGCAGAGTGTTCTCTTTTAGCTGAGCTGGTCCAAGAAACTGTGGAATTCTGCTTGGCTGATGGCCCCTATTAACTATAGGGCTCTGCTTTTCTGAGTGGCATTTGCAAGTTTGGGTCCTGAATAAAAGATTCTGAACAACAGAGAAGATGACATAACAATCTCCAGTGCACTCTCTCCTGTGCATTCTACCAAGCAGTGCTGGACCTCAACACTAAAACATGGCTGAGTGTAGTTTACAATGATGATACCATTTTGAAGGGCTTCTGCCTACGTGTGCTCACTGCTGGCCAACTCCCACTTTGTAGAAGAGAGAACTTACAACTTCAGCTCTATACTGAGGAATTAAAAGGGCTCTGTGGTGGAGAAATGACTATAAAACCATTTATTTGATGTCATTTTAGGGGTCTGGGTTAAGCTGAAAGTCATCAGCACTGCACTGGGTCCAGCATTCCCCAAACCTACATAATAGCAGAGGCAAGGAACAGAAATTGGATTCCTTTAGATCTTGCAATAGTGATTGTGGCAGGCTTGTCAGGCCTCAGTTACCCAAGCAGGAGAACATGCCAAGACCACAGTGCACCAAATCCTCATGCTTTTATTATCAACGTCTGATATAAGTAGTGGCCGGTGCACCACCTGCCTTTCTTCTGGGCTTCAGATCTCATGCTGATTACCACTGTGCCAATATAGAAGTTTGATATTTGGTTAATCATTTCAATCTCTGTTCTCTGAAATTGATCACTTCAGATCAACATTAATTGATTAAACTTTGAGAACAATTCGCAATTAGAAACACCTTATATGGTGTTTCTTTGCATTAACCTAAGAGAACCAGGTGGGCCAAGACAAACAGCAATGGACTTATTGAGCATCCCAAGGCCCAACTGCGAAGCCTGGTGTTTTGGCTAATCACTGGAGTTTGAAGGTATAACTGAAATTGCTTTCTTTAAATGAAGCCTTCACTCCAAATCTCACTCCTGCTTGAAGGAGGAAAAACATCTCTAAATAAAACACAATTTCCCTTTCTAAGGATACGCATGAATAATTTTGAAATGGACTTGTATTACATGAAGCTAATATTAATGTTGCTTGCTTCGGATCACTAGCAATTCATTTATTAGACAGTAGTAATAAAATCCAATATACAAACATGATGGAAGTGCTTTGTATGTTTGTATCACTATGCTTATTTTCATAAATCCCTTTGGGCGACATGCTCATAAAATTTAGGCTGCCCACCACCAGCCACAGCTTCCCTGACAAATACACCTGCAGCACACAAGCTTCCGAATGACTCCACAGACTGTAGGGTGAGAGTCTACCTGGGCTTTGTGTCAGGTGATACGATTTTACTGCAAATGGTGACTCAAGCTGTGCTGGTTTTGAACATGCTCAGGTCATTCAAGGTCAGTAGTAAATTTAGAAGAACAACTTCCATGCAGGAATAACGAGAGATGCCAGGGTTTAACAAGTGGCAAGGAAATGAGTGCTGCAGTGCAATTGTACCCAAGGGAGATAGAGTAATAATGCATTTCTCAGTATTGCTTATCCAAGAGTCCTTGTACAAATTACAAGGAAACATTTCCATAAAGAATGTCCTCAGGCGTAGTGTTTAGGCAAGAGTTAAAGACTTTCTCCCTCACATGTAATTTTTTTCTAAATCTACAGGGCAAGATTTTGTGCACCATGAGGCTAGGGAGATGCCAAGGCAATCTTCCTGAGCCCATTCCACTCCCTCCCTAGGTTGGAGAACATGAACAGAGCCCTCAAGCTTGGGTTCTGAGTGCAGCTGCCCCTTGCTAGCTATGCCTTTAGGTCTCCCCCACACCGGGGATTCTGTTTCTCCAAAAATAAAATGTGGATAATTATGTCTATCCATCTTAAGTCATGGAGTTTAAATGAAGAATGATGGAAATGAATATTAACATTGCTACGGATATGCAAATCATATGTATTTCCAATTGAGGGACAAGGACCTCAAAGAAACCCTTACATAGCCACAAGTAGGCTGTTTTTTGAATAAGTGCAAGTCAAGTGTGTTTCCTAAAATGTGACACTTTTAAGACCTTCCACAAAATCTGTTCTAAGCCTATTGTGAGTCTTATGTTTTTACTAAGGTCAAGAAGGTCACAGAGCATAACATAATGTTTCATGCAAAATCTCCGTGTGGCATTTCTCTTCCACAATAGCCACTTGGCTGAAGCCACCCTGTGATCCACTCCAGGCAGCCTCAGCCCGGATCACTTTGCCTCATCCTGATCTTTCCACATCCCTCACAGAGCAGCATCTTCTCTCCATCCCCAGTGACAGGTGACTCAGAAACTCTGGAGACCCAGCCCCAAGTTACCCACTCAGAGGATTCACCCAACTAAAGCTGATCTTTCCTGACACCGTATTTTCTTTCCAGCTGCTTAAAAAATAAGATTTTTCTCCATATGGTTCTAATCAATTTAAAAGCACCAACTGAAGGGCCTACCACTGGTTCTGCCTCAGCTTTTAGACAGAGGTCTTTCTTCTTTAGATGATTTTGCTGATAGTTCACAGATAAATGAAGAGCACCTTCTTTGTCACTTCTCAAGCACTGAAGTAGTGCTTATGATGAGGCAGGTATTGTTCCGAGAGATTTATAAATATTGACTAGGTTATCAAGAACAACCCTCCCATACAGTTATCATTATTACATCACCCAAACCTGATGTACTGTAGTACGATTCTGATGCTAATCACCCACTGCGCTGAGAGCCCCCCAGTTAAGGGCACTGTCCTCAACTAGACTGCCCCCATTTCAGATGCCAGCCACAAGTTTGGGGGTCCCCAGGCTACCCACATTTCTGACCAACTAGCTACAAATTCTAGGGCACCGACAACCCTCTTCGGGTTTGATATTAATAATTTACTAGAGTGACTTACAAACTCTGGAAAGTGCTACACTTAACTATTACAGCTTGATCATAAAGGATACACATCAGGACTGACAAATAGATGCATAGGACTAGGTCTGAGAGGGTCCCAAATGCAGAGCTCCTGTGCCCTCTCCCCAAGGAAGCAGGACAGGTCAAGCCCCCAGCCCATTAATGTGTCCACCAATCAGGAACTTCCAGTGGGCTCTGATGTCCAGAGTTGTTATGGGGGCTTCATGGCGTAGGCATGGTTGATTCAATCTTTGGCCACATGCTTGAACTCAGGCTCCAGCCCCCTTCCCTTCTTGGAGGTTGGGCTGCCTCAATGCCTCAAACCTTTAATCACATCGTTGGCCTTTCTGGCATGACCAAACACCACCCTGAGCCATCTCATCTCATGAGCATAAACTGAGGTGTGATTCAAGTGGCTCACAAATAACAATACACTCCCCTCATTTGGGAAAGTCCAAGGATATAAACTCTCCCTCCAAGGAAGCAGGGACAAAACCCAGCCAAATCCTTTATTATACACACAACACCTACATTTTGCACTTGAGTAAAAATGTCACAAGGAAGTTGAGTGAATTGCTCAAGGTCACAGAACCAGTAAATGTCAGGGTCTGTATCGGAACCAGGACAGTGTGGCTCTGGAGCATCTGTCTATAGCAACACACCACAGGGCCTTACCAGTAACACTCAGGGAGGGAGTTTACACACTCAGAGTGAGTAAGGTCAAAGGGTTCCACGGATAACTTGGTAGACAGACAATTACGGCTTCATGCTGTTCCATTTTGACTCGCAGCTCTAGCCCAAAAGCAGTTTGGCAGGAAACTGTATTACAGAGGAAACCTGATACTCATCATCTCAGTAGTATGGAAGTTTATTCCTGATTACAGACTATCTCCTCAACTTATCATATCCAACTCTTATCCATTCACTTGACCATGTTCCACACCAAAAGCTGACTGACCACAGTAGTGAGACTCAGATCATCAATTTCCTCTTTAAACCCATACAAAAATCTTTAGAATTACAAATAAAAATGACCACCTCACTGAAACAATGTGAAAGTAATGTGTGTGACATCTGTCAAGTTCCTGACGTTCCAGGCCCTAGACAGGTGTGTCTAAAATGGTCACAGCAAGTAATAGGATATATTTCCAGGTGGTGTTTCGGGTACTAGGTGAAATTATCCATGTAAACCACTGTGTGCAAGTCCCAGCACCTGGTAACCACAAACCAAATATCAGCTGCTAAAATTGTTTTTGTTATTATTACCACTAAAAACTAAAAACCCACAATTTTTCAGTGAACTACTCCACTCAGGCATTCTTCAAAATTTCTGTGGATTCTATCTCAAGGGCTCCATCAAACAGAAAATGAGGAGCACAGGTTGGCACAAATCAAAACTTCTCAGCAACAAAAGCCTGGGAGAGCATTTCCATGTTCAGATACCAAAGGGCATAGTCAGCAGCAGCTGTCTCATTAGCAGCAATAACAGTAAATGAGGCCCTTGGATGCATCTAAGGATGAAAAAGACAACACAGAGAAGAGGCACCCAGTCAGAAGGAATGAAAGAACAAAATGGAAAGAAAATAGCAGTCAAGTATGGAAATGGTTGTTGCAAGCTTCAAGAATGGATGCCTAAAAGTATTTGCCCTTATAGATACAGAATGTCCCACTTGGAAGGACCTTTGGAGTTAAATCTGACCTGTGCATTTTTAGACATGAATTTGAAAGTCAGATAACACATGGAGACCTTAAGAATGTTGACTGCATAGAAGACATCTTAGAAAACATGGAATATGGGATAATCCAGTAACACAGGAGTTTCCAATTCATTAAATGTTTAAAGATAGGCAATTGTCACTGACAGAGGGGCACAGTGGAAGTGATGTCCATGTCCTTACTGAATCACAATCTACCACACAGAATGCTGGCAGAACAACAAATATGAGTTGGTAGCACAACAGAAATTCAACATGTATGCTGAGATAATAGAAAGAATGAACCATTCCATCCTTTCTTACAATTTTAGCAAAATACCATTCTGGGAAAATGTAAAAGAAAGAAATCAACTTACAGTGCAAAGGAATAGGAAGTTGGGGTTAAAATTGACAAAGAAAAATGGACAATCATAATTCACACTGGGTGGTACATGGTGAAGTCATTAGAATGAGGGCTAAAGGGTGGGGAAGGAGAGATCTATTGAATAAACACAACAGGACAAGTAGAAAGCTAAAATATAAAGGTGAACAGAGCAATTCCCTTTCCTATCTTCCTAAGCTTCTCCCTGACCCCTTCCTAAATCTCGTCCTCCATGTCCCCTCCCAGGGGTGAGCCAGTTTACACAGCCTCACCAGAATGTGGGTGCAGAGGGACCCCACCTTAGCATGCCTTTGTCACTTCTGTGATAGTCAAGATGCAGCTGTATTTATGCCCTGTACCCTTCTGAGATATTGCTTCTTGTTCTATAATAAAACAATATAATACATCAAAAAATGTATTCCTCTCAGGTAAGAGCCCCCTGCATTGTGGCTCTTGGAAGTTTTTGTAAGACCAGAATTCCTGTCTTCTTCGGGCTCCTGACACAGTCCCGGCACAGTCCTCTGCCAGAATGCCATTTCATTTGAGTCTTGTCTTCATCAGTTTTTTCATGGACTGTTTCCTTGCTTTAAACCCATTTTCATGGTGATGGGATTCCAAGATGCTAATGGCTGGATTACCAAAGAACTCATTTAATATAACACAGATAGAATCTGCCTTCGTTTAGAGATGAAACCTTCACCTTGACGTGCACATGAATCACTGAATCACGGAGCAGATTCTGTTCTGAAGCTGGGTGGAGGCTCAGATTCTGCATGTATCATGAGCTCCCAAGTGATGAAGATGCTGCTGGCTCATGGACCACACTTTAAAGAGCAAGAATTTGAACCTTCCAAAAAAGGAATAGACCCATTAAGGTGCCTGTAAAGTTCTGTTTCTAAGGATCGAGGAAATACATGTCAAAAGCTCCTTCCTTGCAGGAGAAGGTCTCATGGAGCAACTTTTTAAATTCTTTCTAATTTTATACTTCTCATATAAAGGAACATGCACAATTCTTTCTTGGACAAATAATGAAATCAAATGAGCAACTAGATGCAGCAGAATGCTTGCTCCTGATTGGAGCAGAGGAAGACACTCCTATTTCAATCTCTACTTGCTTTTTCTGCTGCTGCTTTGATTTTTTAAAAAAATTTCTTCCACACCTTTCTAAAGCTGAGGAAATTCCACAAGCAGTTGGGAGACCAGATTATATATTTAAAATTCAGGTTATCAAGCCTTTCAAAAATGCACTTGGTTTAAGTTAGTGAAACTTAGATTTTCACAGAACAATAGCATTTGCTCCCTTTAGTGAAAGGACCCAGATTGAAAGCAAGAGTTTGCAGAAAATTGAGGCAATCCTGAGGCCTGGGGAGAGACAGGAGACCAAATGCTTCCCAGTCACCAAGTCTAAGCCACAGACTGCCACAAAATGGGTTTCCGAGGAAATGGTTCTTTCTGAATGATATACAGATTTTTCAGAGAGACACATTTATATTTCCTGTTAATTTATCAATTCTCTGATTTACTACATCTAGAAAACTTCCCAATGTTTCATTAAATTTGTCCAAATCAATCACCATTGTAATATTAAATACACTAAATCAACAAGCTCTGTTTTTTTTCTCAACAATACACACATTTATCAGCTTTAGAGACAGTCTTATTTTTTATAATAATTGTGAATTTGTTTGTAGAGGAATATTCAAGTATCCATATTTTTTCCTGCTTATACAAAAACAAGCTCTGAAAGGGTAGTTTATAGAAACTAAACTTTTCTGCATTAAAACATAAATTATTCCTATTTATTTCATCATGTATGTTTTCTTCTGTTCATATTTGTGATACTCTGATGACAATGAAAATAACCAGGTAGAATATATCACAATCATTAATTATAAAAGAAAATTTTCAAATGTGCTTAGTTGTAATCCTTAAACTAGCCAAGTCTACTTGTCATTTTCTTAAAGAGTTAAATAAAACTTAAATTATTATTGTTTTATTATTTAATTTTTAGTTCTAGCTGTGAAGAAAGGTAATAGCAGACTAAAATGAAAACAAGTCAAATTTCAATATAAAACTTAAAAGTATTGAAGCTTTGATATAACTAAACCATGTAATTAATTATGTAAAACAAATGAGTCATTTATTTAACTGTTTATAACCTGTCGTTTTATCAATAATGCCAAAAAAATTCAAGCTTATGCTGGTCAGATTGGGTGCTTTGGTTTGCTTTATTTTTTGACTAAAGCAGAAACAACAAACCAACGAACAAAACTACAGGCATATAAATTAATATTTATCCCAAATGAGTTATTTTGTTTACATTTTAACATCTCTTTACTTGGAAGCTCATAACATAATCCTAAAAGTAGAGTGGAACATATTGGGTACGTTTAATATCCATATTTGAGAAGTGAAATTCTTCCTTAGCAAATATTTGAATCGCTTCTCTTTTTCCAGTGATATCAATAATAAAATAACATGAACAGCAAGGGCAACTATTCTAACCATCAATTTCATGTGAATCAAAATGTATTTTATCAGTGAATTACTTCCGGGCTTGACACCAACTTTTGTTTTTATAGCATTCTTCTTTTTACTCACAGAAACGTGATATCATGTTTTTCCACCAGTAGGAGAGGATAGTACGGTGTAGTGGTCAAGACCCAGGTCTGACTGCTGGGATGAAAATCTTGACTTGTCATCTGTGGTCTTGGGAAACTAAGACAACTCCAGGCCCTTAATAGGGCTTTGAAGATGGAATAAGATAATTCACGAACGTTTCTAGTATATAGTCTCTCACATAAAAATCAAGCTCCTTTACAAAATAATTAAAAATCAAATCCAATAATAAATACATTTTATTAATAATATTAAGTAGAGTTCAATGCATATGTACCTTATGCATTTTAGCCTCTTAATTATGTAGAGTGGTTTTTAATTAAAAGTGTTTTTGAATGCCTGTGACTGGACGGGCTCTAAAATAAGATTTTCCCGACTGAGCTCATTTACTTGTCACAATTGCCTTGTGACACCTCTGGTCTCAAGGCCCTTGGTCAGGACTCTGTGATCTTAGGCATCTCTCTACTTCCTGGGAAGAGAAATCAAGTTACACTAATTCTGTGCCTCCTTCTACCCCTGGGAAATGAAAGAGCTTCTTTAATAGGGAAGAATGTCTCTTTAGTTCCTCCTCTTTTTCTCGGAGTGAGTCTGGCTGCAGAGAGCACGGTTTTCTTCTTCCTTCCCTTGGGAGCCTTGTCTTGGAAGCCCCTCACCGAGGAGAGCTGCTCTGGTTTATGGTGCCTTGGACAGACTGGGTCAACCTGCTGAGTGACGGGATATGTTTATAATATGTTTACAAACCCTTTCAGCACCCTGGTTCAGTTATGTCCTCCCACGGTACCCTCTATCGGTATTCTGGGGCTTTTACTTTCTCCGTCTTTACTGTTGGATTATTTCTCAGATTGTCCAGAAACTAGACGGTGCTGTTTATTCAGGGCACCCTCAACTACTCCAATGTTACATCACCATTGCCAGGTAAGGGACAGATTTAGAGAAATGACATAACTTCCTCAAGGTCCCCCTGATTGAATTGAGCAGAATTTGTTTTCAATCTCTAATATTTTTCTTGCGTTTTGTGTTTTTTCTCCCTATTGAGATATAATTCACATAGCAGAAAATTCATGGTTCTACAGTGTATAGTTCAGTACAGTTTTTTTAGCCTGTTCACAGATTTGTGAAACTTTCACAATTGTCTACTTTCAGAATATTTCCATCCGCCAAAAAAAGAAGCCCTCATTGTGAGTTACTCCCCAAACCGCGCTCCCTGCAGTGTTGGCAGTTATTCATTCGTTTTCTGTCTCTGCTCATTTGCTTATTCTGACGTTTCATTTAATTGGAATCATGCAATATGTGGC